CTAAATACAGCTATGGGAAAAAATAAGAGACCACTTGAAAATTCTCAGTTTCTTTGGATTTACGATTTTTAGTTATGTATTTAATTCCGTAAATTACTGTCGGTGCCAATGGCCTCATGGGCAGCACGCCGACATGTAGCGCCTTTGCGCTTCGGGTGTCCCGAGTTCGAGTCCCGGATCGTGGACCTTTACCGATCCCACCCCCCTCTCTCTCTCACCCACTTCGCTTCCTGTCGACCTACTGTCCTATCTAAATAAAAGGCATAAAATGCCAAAAATAAATCTTTAAAAAAAAAAAAAAAATTCTGTAAACTACTGATGACTATTCTTCCCAATTTGAAATCAAAATGTCATGTAGAGCATTTTTTCCCCGCATAAAATGACAATTGGTCAAAATAAGAAAGAAAAGATGCCATGTTTTCAGACATGTTTATATTCATCTTTAGACAACACAATAACAATGTTTTAACTTCAGAAGAGTTAAGAAATCAATATTTGGTGCAATAACCCTGATTGCCAATCACAACAAATGAAAACATTAGTTTATTTTTATTTTCTGGCCAATTGTCATCTTCTGCAAAAATGACAAACAATAAATGAAAAAGCTACAATATTTTTATTTGAAAGAAATGTTATCAAACCTTTATAGAATAAAAGAAATATGAACATTTTACTCAAACCCACACCTAGTGAATCCAGTAAATCCAGAAAAGCTGAGAATTCTCTTCATTTTTTCCAGAGCTGTATGGGGTGATTGTACTTTACTGTTTTATTTTCATGTGCAGCAGCACTGAATTCCCACTGCTCTGCTCATTACATTCTAAAGACTGCATGGAATTTGAATACAATGTGGACTTAAAATGAAAACAAACTATGACCTAATTAAATCCAGTTACTCTGACACTAAGCAGAGGTTGTGTTTTTACAGTGCTCCTGTATGTGAGGAAGGAGTCGGATGAGGTGTTTGACGCTCTGATGCTGCGGATGCCCACTCTCAGAGGACTCATGGATGCAGTGAGTATCTACTCGAAATGACTGATTAATAGAGGTGCAAAATGAAACAGTGCATCGATTCAGTGCAAAGATTCATTTATTCAAAGTAATGAAATCTAAGTGAATACTGAACAAATTTCCAAAGATTTCTAGATTTATCAGATCATTGCCGATGTGATGACTGATATATGATTTAGTCATGATTTCTTTTATATCGACAGATTTCAGAGAAGTACGGTGTTCCTATTGACAGAATGGCCAAGATTTACAAGAAGAGCAAGAAAGGGTACGTGATTTCTTGAAAAAAAAAAAAAAAAAAAAAATCGACATCATGAGAGGACATGTTAGATTCAGATGACGGCTAATAAGCCTGTTGTGATTTTGTTTCTTCTTTCCGTTGCAGGATCCTGGTGAACATGGACGACAATATCATCGAGCACTACTCCAATGAGGACACATTTATCCTGAGTATCGAGAACTACGCAGAGGCTTACAAAATCACATTAACGGAAATATGAACACCAGCACATGCATTTCTAACATTCAGTATGTTTAAGCTAAAAGACTTCAGCCTGGTCAGATTCAGCATCAACTGTCCTTAAATTGAATTGACATCAGCTAAAGCTGACATACCTCATTTTTAAGAGACCTTAAGTATGATTTTTAATGGTCAATAGGAGTTTCAGAGCATCCCAAAAATGTCCACATGTGGATGGAAAGACTTTTGCTATCTTTGGCTTCACTTTTAAGGACTATTTCACATTTCACTTGATTTTGGAGACCACCATCAGATTCCTGCCTGAAATTTCAACTGTTCCTTCCGAAGGATTTCACTGGAGTGGAGTGAGATGAAATACACGATCTCTTCATCACATCAAAATGCTGTGCATGCAGTGTGTATATTCAACAAAATCAAGCGTCCATTGGAATTATAATGCTAAGATACATTTGCTTGCAGCAAAAATATGAATTTGGGACTTCTCTGTAGAGTTCAAGACTTCTCTTGCAGAGCGACTTATCTGTGAAAAGTGTCCAGTACTGTCAATGTTATTTTTGCGTGTGTGTATTATGTTGCCATTAATATTATTGTGAATGTTAGCTTGGTAGATATGATTCAGCTTCTTACTGACTTTTTTTTCTGATGCAAAAAGATAGCTATTTTTATGAGACTGTGCCATTTCAAGTTTTTTTGTGTGCTTAATAGAGCAAAGCAGGAAACATGTATAAATACTGTAATGTTTAACTGTACAGTACCGCATTTGATCAAAGTTCCATTGGTTTCAAATGCAAAAGATTTCACGACCTTTTGGAGATCTGAACATGGATCTTCACATTAACAGCAGAGGTTTTTCCCTTTTGCATCAAAGTACGAGTGTCTCTCACAGTTTTTGTCATTATTTTTGCAGTAACTACGCGGTCTTAAAGCCTGGTTCATTTCTAGTGTTTGTGTGTAACATTAACTGTAGTGCAGATTCAGTTGATCGGCACCATTTTGAACTGTTGTAATGTTTGAAAATCATTGTCTTCCAAACGAAATAATGTAAAAGGGCACTTCAGAAATAATAATTTGTATGTAAATAAATGCATTTTTATCAAGATTTGATTGGTTTTTCACACTACAATTAAAGGGATTGTTTACCCAAAATTAGCTGAAAATGTACCCACCCTCAAGCCATCCAAGATGTAGATGAGTTTGTTTCTTCATGGGGTGAAATGTAGCATTGCATCACTTGTTCACCAATGGATCCTCTGCAGTGAATGGGTGCCGTCAGAATGAGAGTCCAAACAGCTGATAAAAACATTACAAGTAATCCACACCACTCCAGTCCATCAGTTAACGTCTTGTGAAGAGAAAAGCTGTGATTGTAAATTAAATCCATCAAGACAATTTCAACTGCAAACCATTGCTTTCAGCTAAAATCCGAGTCCATAATCCATAATAACACTTCCTCCAGTGAAAAAGTCCATCCACTGTAGTTCTCTCACATCAAAATCAACAAACATATTTGTTTAGAGCCGTTATGGCTTGTAAATGGTGTTTGATCTGTGCAGATTTCTCTCCCGATTCAGACGAGACAAAATTTGAAGCAATAGTATGGACTGAGTACTAATTTTTTTTTCGTTTTAAGTTAAAAATGTGTTAAAGATGGATTTGTTTCTGACAAACACACAGCTTTTCACTTCACAAGACGTTCACTGATGGACTGGAGTGGTGTGGATTACTTTTAATCAGCTGTTTGGACTCTCATTCTGACGGCACCCATTCACTGCAGAGCATCCTTTGCTCCAAATCTTTTCAGATGAAGAAATAAACCCAACTACATCTTGGATGACCTGCGGGAGAGGACTTTTTCAGCGAATTTTCATTTTTGGGTGAATTATGCCTTTAACCCTGGATTAATAACTTCTTATATTCATGTAATTCACTTTTAATATTCATGTAAGACCATCAGACATCAAACCATTTTTCTTTCTTAAGATTTTTATTTATGATATAACCAAAACAGATGGCTGCGTTCATAATATCTACACTCACACAATGTACAGGCTACCATATAAAATCTACAAAATGACGACGACAAACATTCAGTCTGACAGATAACAGTTGTACAGCTGATAGAACACTGTTTGTTTTGCCATATATATTCATCTGTGTTTGGCACTTGACCACATGTTGCTGTCTTCTGTGGTTTAGAAATGAAATGCCAGATGCTAAATAGTTTTTACGAAGGAGAACCTACAAACATAAATGATCCGCTTTGAATTCAAGCTCCTTCGCATGTGGCTGAGGAAAGTTTGATCGTTACAAACCTCGACTTCACAGAAACCGCAGAGAGTTTCCGATGGCTATCCATCTTACATGTGATCCCTCAGATAGGATGTGGTTTGCATGTGAGCGAGTGTTTGTGCATTTATAAATGGACTATAGCTAAAAAGCATATGCATCCCTTGCATTTAAAACCCTGAGGTTGTGTAGAAATATTCTTACACATTAATATTTTACACTCCAGTTGTCATGTCACTGACTGCACACTGATGAAAGGTACAGTATGCATAGACAAACACTGGATAAACACACGAGTACTCAAAAAGCATCACATACACACACATACTCATCCTGAAATGTACAGAATGTCCCAGTAGATGCAGAGAATACATTCAGTTTGAGGTGTACAGCGTGCAAAATGATTTGAGCCGGATACAAAAATAAAGAGCTTAACCGAATACTAAGGCCAAGATTCAGTCAAATATGAATAGTACTTGAACTAGTCGCTCGTGCTAACCTGTAGTATTAGTTCACAGCCGATGGTGTGGGCAGGAGAGTGACTGAATCGAGGTGTGGATAGAGTAGAAAGTGTCTGGAAAGCTTGAGGTGAATGTGTCGGCTGGTGTCTGGCAGTAAATGCATGTGGCAAGGTATTTGCTGTTCACTGTCACAGTCCTACATACATATGCTTTTACTGTACAAATGATTCTTTGAAACAAAAGAAAATTTCATATTTCAGTAATAACAGCAGTTTCAAAAAGAAATTTTTTTTTTGTGGTGTGATAAATTCTCACTTAGCCATCAAGTTAAACCATACATTATATCTACAAATTTTTTTTGTTTAATACTTTTTAATGTTTCTTCTCTTTTGAAGCAGCAAGATCAATATTATTGTTGTCCCTATGAAAATATTTCTTTGTTTTATGATACTGTCCAACTATTTGCTTACTGTCAGTCCTATGCAGTGCTTATTGCTGATTGGCTACAAGTTTGTTTTGCGATTCGGCCCGAATCAGTTTTCTAAAGTGTTTTTGAAAAATCACTTACTCTGCCTTTAATGTTTAAAAAACATTTTTTTTTTTTTTAAAGAATTATTATTATTATTTTTATTTATCCTGATGCTCATTAAAGGAGCACCATCACGATAAAACTCGACCCCATCCGCCCTTTTAAGAATCTATCACAGGCTCTAAAATCATAATGCAAGAAATGTTAAAAAAAAACAAAAACAAAAAAAAAAACATTTAAGTAAAAAAACTGATATGTCGCCCAAGTGACTCTCTTTTAAATAGATGTTTGTGCTGAATGGAACTGAAATACTGGGAACACTAGGAATGACATTTGTCATTGTTTGTGTAAAATGATTTAATTGATTAAATTCTTAAATAAGCTATATTTTGCTGTTTTTCGAAAGTTTGACAAAGTGTCACATTATCTGGTGCATTTTGCACTCTTGGAAAATTTAGCTTCGACTCCCTCTCTGTTATTATTTAAAGCTCTTTTCGAAGGGGTTTATTTCAGTACCAAAAGCTTACAACAGGATGTGATGTCCCTTGCATCACTGCCTGTTGTGTTAAATCGCAAAAAGCCTTATATGAGGAATTCAAAATACAGAGAGACGCATGAACACAAGCTTCTTGTGTATGATCTCTGTATGTCCGGTTCTCACCGTTACCTGATCTGTGTCTGTGGGGAAATAATGTTCTCATGCGTGGTGTTCAGCGGGAAACCCACAGACACTGAGATAGGGCTGTGGTTTTGGAGTCCATGCTCTGCTGATATTTGAAGGAGAGCGAACACGGAAAGACTTGCGGAAGAGAGGTTATGACTGCTGATTCACTGTCCCGCACTGCTGGGGTCGCACTGCAACAGTCGCACGATGGACGGGTCGCTCTTTGCACCCTCCACAAACTCTTCGAGTGACAGCTTACCTGAGGGGCAACACAGGGTCAAAGGTCAAAAATTTGGTTGATTAGCCATTTGAAAGCACTTTCATATTTAAAGCAGTTATTTTCGCGAAATGCTAACGTTTAGGAGCCCTCTTAAACTTAAATGTCAATATAATTATCCTTGTAGAAGTACACTTTAACATACTTTTAAAAAGAGTACTTATTATTTTGTAACATTTAATAGCATCAATTAAATGAAAAGTATTATAGTTTAAATTTATATTAAATGCAATTAGTTGAACTTGTTGAGAGTGCTTTCTGACCCACTTATATAGGGCTTAAGTACATATTTATATAATTTCATAATTAATTTTATTGTCTTAGAAATATGCTACTGGCATATGCCGCGATCTCACGGCAGTTCGTACATATTTTACGAGGTGGCAAATTCGTACAACCTCACTCGTACAAATTCATACGATTTTTGCTAAATCGTACGTCTTTTACGAGTTGCACAATTCGTATGAATTTGTACGAATGACCTACACCTAACCCCGCCCCTAAACCTACCCGTCACTGGGGTGCAGACAAATCGTACAAACTCGTACGAGTGAGGTCGTACGAATTTGCCACCTCGTAAAATATGTACGAATTGGTCGGGAGATAGCGTTGGCATATCTGTGACAAAAATATAGATGTAATTAAACACATGGAATGATGAATTCGCAATATAGTGCATTTACAATACTGTATATAAACCTTAAATGTAATTATATCAAATAACTCACTACAGTGAAAATTATAGTCAAGTAATTTATATGTACTTTAGTATGCTAGTCAACACATCAAAATAAGTGTGTTTCTTTAAAACATATTTTAAAAGTAAAACTTTTACTTTGACATTATTACAAAGTGCACTTTTTAAAAGACTATTCGAGAGTGTTAAAAACATGAAAGTGTCTAAGTACACTTAAGTGAGCTTTTATTGTATTAATATTAAATTATCTGCAAGAACATATAAATATATATACTTTAAGTGCACATTCTATACAATTAAGCACACTTCTTTTTCACAAGAGTATAGGAAGCTTACCATCACGATTTGTGTCCATCTGGCGGAAGATCTTATCCGTGCGTTTCTCAGGTGTGGACTCGTCCTCTGGCATCTTCATCACTGAAGAAACCATCTTATAGATGGCCTGAGGAAGACAGGTTTCAGCTTTAGAAAAGGTATTACCTCACAAAAAACATGATGTTGTTCAACAAGTGAAAAATTCTACTCATACAGAACAAGACAGAATCTCTGTTCCACAACCTAGTGAGCTTCCTTGTTGTTTACTGCTGCCTACAAAGGCAGCAAACCACTAAGTGTCCTCCCTGTTGCTGTGAGCTTGCGAACAAGAGATTCGACTCTCGGTTTATTTCATTTGGCTTTAGCATGTCGCTAAGCTAACAACACAGTACTTTAACTAGCATAACTACATTTATAATGGCCTTTTTATTCCACGATGGAATATTCTGTAATCTTGGATGATTCTGAACTCATTGCAGTGCATTCTGGGATTGGGAAATAATGCATGCAGTGCTGCTTTAGAATCTTCTAGCAGTTGGGTTTTAGAATTCTGGTTTAGAATTGCTATCTTTTGGTTTGGGAGTGCAGCTAAGATGCTGTTAAGGTCTAAGCAGGCAGTAAATCTTATTAGAGAGAATTAGAGGACTCTGCGTATGATTTAGAATTGGAGCTGTCACTTCCTAACTTTTTCAAAGTAACCATAGCAACTGCTTTTCCCAGAGAACTGAATGAACTGAAAAGAAAATTACAGCCATTTGCTTGCACTCAGCTGTCAGATTCAGAGAGTGCACTTGGGAAGCTGACGCATTTCACCAATTGCTCCAACAGCGTGAAATTTACCTAAATACGAGCAAAAGGTGATTGCCTGCTGCACCCAACTCTCCCTAATTGAGCAAAACATCATGCGCAACTGAAAACTGATCATTTTCTGGTCTAAAAACACGATAATAAGGCACAAGCCTAAAACCAGACATTTCCTGGAAGCATTTTGATAGTATTGATTTGCCATATTATTCACTGAAATATATTAATATACACTATAAGGTTGGAAATATCTTCTCTGTAAAGTCAAAAGAAATGTGTTTTTGTACACTGGTTGATTGATAGCAATATTTATTATAGATTATTAATTATTATTATTAGATTACATTTCGAGAATAAAGTCATTGTGTTTCGAGCAAAACTTGTTAAATTTTAAGGAAAAAAGTCAAAACAATATAATAGTCGAATGTTTATTCTCAACATTTCATTTCGACTTATTTTCTCGCAATTTAACGAGTTTAATCTCGCATTATAATGACTTTAATCTCGAGATGGTTTTATTTTTTTTTATTATTGCTCGGCCCTAATCCTCTTCCGTACCTTTGCATTCCGCTGTAAGTAAATGAAAAAAGACAACATATACTGTGCGTTTGTGGTCTGCTCTCCCAATTTAATTTACGATATAATCCATGAATGATTCCCTGGAATGCACCAAGAATCTTTCATCTTTTCATCCCCAAATCCTCATGTCTCTTTCCAGGTTTGTTTTCACACGGATGCTGTGAAATGTAATCGCCACGATATATAGACATACAGTATATTACTATAATGACATTTAACACATCCTTAATATTGCTGCGGATAGAAGGAGGATCTTTGGGAGTTACTCATGGTATGTTGAAAGTCATTTGTTAATGCTTTTACACTTTTAATGAAAATGCTTGTTATTGCATTCATAGAGCGAACCATTTGCTGATTGTTTACAGTCAGTGTAAACGGAAGTTACTCCCATAATTTGCGCAAAGCATCATGGGGCGTAGGAAAAAAGTGGATAGTAGTTACATTTTCACAAAGGCATGCTAAAATCATTCATAAGAGCGCTAGACAAAGTTATCATCTATATAGCAATGGTTATTAATGAAAACTGTAACATTAATATGTATTGTTGCATGAATACTAAACAACTGTTAAAATGATCCACCCCTAACCTATTGTATAACATATATTTGTGCTTCAACCGAGAGAGTCACACTCACACACCTGTACAATCTCCAGCATTATAATTATAATGCATTATAGCCTTAAATAACCCTTTATAATGCATTATACATAAAGGCTTTAAGTAAAGTGTTACTGAGATCTCTTTAAATATCTAAACTGTTTCTCCTAGACCTCAGTGAAATTAAGTGGAAAGCTTAAATGGAGACTTTTTCTTAAATCTCCACTTCCACGGATTTTTATCATGAGAAAAAAACCCCAGTAATCTCACATGTGAAAGAGATCTCAACATTCAGACTCTGAACTGATTTCAACAATCTTTGCTTTTCTCAGATTTGCCACGATACCACAGTCTGCCATTAAAATTCAAACAAACTGAAATATTTCTTAACATTTTGTTCTAAGATCAATGATCTGATCCGATTCTGTCCACATACATTTTATAGCTCTATACACTGAACATTTTTAAGCTGTAAATAAAACAAAGATTATTGGCATGAAAATACTATTTCAGTCTTTCTACTTCAAAATTTCACAGTATGTCATTTCTTTGTAATACAGCTGCCGTTTTTTTACCGTAAATTTTACGGAATTTTTTTTACAGTGTATTTTAAGGTAATTCTATAAAATGGGTGCTTTTCCTGGTTGATTTTAATACAGCAAGGAGAAGCTGGAAAAAATCCCTATGATATTTAAAAAAATTATAAAATAAAGTTTTGTAGTTGTATTCGGAACAATGTCTATATTAACATATAAAAATTGCATTAAATATTCATAATAAAAGTAATTTTTATATGCATTATAAATATAGACAAATGTTATAATGACTCTTTATTCTCATCCATATCCACTGAAAGTGAAGGGGGACAAAAAAATAACATTGGGGAGATTAAGAGATGGAGAAACTGAACCTCCTCTTGTAAACAGGAAGCAGTCCATCAGTTTGCCTTTCACTGCTCCTCACATAGCGCATGTGTACATCCAGCTCCACGCTATTTATACAGCATGCTTATTTATGTCTTATTTAACAAAATGATGTGAAAGGAGTCAAATAATAAAAAGAAGAAAAAAAAGATACATATATAAAAAAATCTTTAAAGTTCAGCTCACATTTCCGTTATCCGTGCCACATCTGTTTCTCTTTCACTGTCAGTATGTGCTTGTAGGAAACTGTCAGTCAGAAACGGTGAAACTGCTTTGATGCTGGAATTAATTAGGGAAATAAATGTCAGCCAACTAGTTGTGAAGATATTAATCATACCAGTCAGAAAGTGCTCTTTCCACTTTTGGAAATGTACTGTATGTAAGAAAATATGAGACCCTGGAGCACAAAACCAGTCGTAAGGGTCAATTTTTCGAATTAATTGAGATTTACATGAAAGCTGAAAGCTGAATAAATAAGCTTTCCATTGATATATGGTCTGTTAGGATAGGACAATATTTGGCCGAGATACAACTATTTGAAAATCTGAAATCTGAGGGTGGAAAAAAAAATAAATCAAAATATTGATAAAAAGTCCTTAGCAATGCATATTACTAATCAAAAGTTAAGTTTTGATATATTTACGGTAGGAAATTTACAAAATATCTTCATGGAACATGATCTTTACTTAATATCCTAATGATTTTTGGCATTAAAGAAAAATGGATAATTTTGACCCATACAATATTGCTACAAATATACCTGTGTTATGACTGGTCCTGTGCTCCAGGGTCACATATGTAAATAATATAACTAAAAATAATGACCTTAGCTTGTCATTCATTTTGATTGGCCCCGTGCATGATTAAACACTGCTCATTCATACTTTTATTCAGTAAATAAGTAGCCTATTATTTAAATCAAAAGTAACAGTAAAGACATTAATAATGTTACAAGACAATTCGATTTCAAATAAATGCTGTTCTTTTGAATGTTTTATAACTACATCAAAATATATGAAAAAAATATGAAGCAGCACAACTGTTCTAAACATTGATAATAATCAGAAATGTTTCTTGAGCAGTAAATCAGTATATTCGAATGATTTCTGAAGGATCACGTGACACTGAAGACTGGAGTAATGATGCTGAAAATACAGCTTTACATCACAGAAATACATTACATTTTAAAATATATTACAGTAGAAAACAGTTATTTTTAAATCATTTAAATTATAATAATATTGATGAAATAAATACATCCTTCCCGAGCATAATATACTATTTTCAAAAAGAATAAAAAAATAAACAAATAAAGAAAAAAAGAAAAAAGTAGTGTACAGTAGTGTATATTTAAAAAAAAAAGTTAAAACAAAACATTGAATTATATGGCCATGCATGGGAACCTAAATTGTATTGCTCAGATGTTGCTTTGTCAATGCTTGTTATTTTTCTAATTCATTGAAATATCAGTTTCTCTAAACAAAATGTCCTGTGTTCACCATCTAATTGTTTTTCTGCTAAAACATGGGCACACCATTAGACCATTTATGTTGAACACCTATAACTGTTCTCTGAACAATTGCTGTATTCTCCCATGATCCTCTGAGGCCTGATCAAGCCCAGCGCTCATCCTCATATGAACTAAAAGCCCCTGCTGACCGCTGTAGCCCCTCTCTACAAACCAGCACCTTCACACACACACACACACACCTTGTTGTAATACCTATGTCATACCCATGTTATTATACAAATTTGTGTCCTCATAAACCACATAAACATGCACACACACACACACACACACACACACTTCCTCCACCCATCCAGTCTGAGCACCAAAGCACATCAGAGCAATTTGTCCACAGCAGACTTTTGTGCCGCCCCTGTGGATAAAAGCATTGTGATCAATCAGAGTTTAATTGCTTAATGGATATGCAGCATTTGTATTACGTTCCGCCCGTTGTCATGGTAACACAGTCTAATCTCACTGTTAGTGAAGCACAAAACAGTCGCATTTGAAGCGACTTTGTATTAAAAACGTGCCTTCAACAATAGGACTTATGGATGCATCAAATGATAGGATGTTTCTTTTGGAAGAAAAATAAACAAAATATATTATCTGAAGTTAAAGTCACCACACTGCCTAAAGTTGAATGCTCATGTCAGGGTTTGGTCCAGAGACGTGTCTCTTGGTCTGACATCACTTCTGATCCTCCTCAGGACGCGCCGTGTTCTTGCGCCCCTGAGCTTAGCCTGTGTTTATAACGCAGATCTCTGATGTTCTTGGACTCCAGGGTCAACAGCTCAAAGATCTCCGTCTCAAATTAACCCTAAGACTCTTAGAGCCTCCAATCGGCCTGCGGAGATGTCACGCTTATATAACGCCGGCCCACAGACACAGGTGGACACAAGACACTGATGTCCCGAGGACAGGTGACACGTCACACCCACCAAACAATCTGTTTTCATCAGCACAACTATGTTTAGAGAATAATACTTCTCAAGCAAGAATATCAAACAAGATGAGACTGGTTAAAAATAACCAGTTGAACTATATACAGGTATATACATACATACATACATACATATATATATATATATATATATATATATATATATTTAGTTGTATTTAG